CGGGGAGCCTGCTTCTCCCTCTGACCCTCTCCCCTCATGCTGTTTCTCTCTCGCTCGCTCTCTAAAAAATAAATAAAATCTTTAAAAAAAAAAAAGAAAGAAAGGGCTCTTAGTTACTGTAAGGAGCAAGGGACACAGAGTGGTGGTGGGGAGGAGAGGCCATTACATCACAATCCAACATAGTGCGCGGGAGTGAGGGCTGGGTGGGGATAAAGAAGGGCCATTCTGTAAATGGCACCACAAAGGTTTTTGCTGTTAATGATGAAGGGCAGCAGAATATGCCACCCCAAAATATGCCACTTTGGCATAAGGATTATTTTGAGCTAAAAGCACTTACAGAAACATCAGGTACAAGAAGGATGCTCTGACCCTGCCCCCTTTTCTTCCTAAAAGCAGGAGATGAAACCCCCACATGGAAGATATTCTCCCCATACCAGGAGGTTAAGCACCATTTTTATCATCTCTCAGAAGTTGAGGCTGAGAGAATTCCATACAAGCAGACTTTGTCAAAAGAATTCCTCTCTTCCTTTTGCCTCCCCATATATTTTAGTAACTTTTCTGCAACTGCCTTTCGTTGTTCAACGTAGTATAAAAGCATTTAGGTTCTGCCACTTCTTTTGGTCTTCATTTCCTCAGGAGGGCTCCTGGGTCACATAAAACTTAAATAAATTTGTATGCCTTTCTCTGTTAATCTGTCATATCAACCTAATTCTCAGGCCCAGTTGAAAAACCTAAGAGGTTAGAGGTAAAATTTTGCCTCCCCTGTAATGATTACACAGTGACCCTCTCAAAGCTGGAAATTTAAGGACGATAGTGTTCCTTTTGCTTTCATAAGACTACAAAGTGCCCTGGAGCAGAGAATAAGGCAAAGGCATTGGTGTTCAGATAGGGGTGAATGACCCCTCTGCTGGCTTCTGACTTAAGAATGGGGTCTATTTGGTGGGATGGTTGTGAGGGCAGGTTATTAAAAGTTGCAGCTTTACCTTCTACTTGGGTAATTGTGCATAGTAGGTGAAGTCATTTGAGTCCTTCATTTATATAAAATCAGAGACATTGGAAGGCTACATTTCCATTTAAAAAAAACCTGACTTTTTAAAGCATCCACTGGTTTTGCAGATGCTGAGAAATAAGCTGGTCTAACCATAAACACTTGGAAATACGAATTAACAGCAGAGTTGGAGCTTTTTATTTTTGTTATTAATTATTTACTTATTTTTAAGTAGGCTCCATACCCAGCGTGGAACCCACTGCAGGGCTTGAACTCACGATCCTGAGATCAAGACCCGAGCTGAAATCAAGAGTTGGACGGCTAACCGACTGAGCCACCCAGGTGCCCCAAGAGTGAGGGCTTTTTAAAGCAGAGTCGATAAGTAAGCAGCAAAGATGGATAGTGCCCACAAGGTATTTCAACTTATAAAGCTTTGGGGCAGGGTGTTCAAGAGTCCCTGAGCTCAACCAGTCGTACAATGCAAAGTAATGGAAGAATGTGTGTTCCATCCAGACTCGGCATTCTGAGGGTCACAACTTTTCACTGTATTTTTTATGCTAATTTAGGTTACTATTTGTGATCGGTCACATTTTCAGATGCATTGATTTGTATTTATTTAGAACCCAGGAATGAGAATGAGCATGGCTTGATTGGGCTAGGGAAAGCACACCCGGAGTATGATTTTGCCAGGATCATGCACTGAGCTGTAGACCACTGTTTCATCACCTCCATTCAACCCTCATATCACCGTGTGCTATACTTCTGATTACCTCCATTCTATGGATGAGAAAACTGAGGCTCAAAGAATTTGTTCCAGGTCACTTAGCGAGTAAGTTGTGCAGCCAGAATCTGAATCTAGGGAGGGCCCTAATAACCAATTTGGACTCCATTATACAGACAGTTTGTAATTCTACAGTTTTACAGTCCTTTTAGGTTCTGAACTGGGGAACGGCTTGATGAGAATGAACAGAAGGAAGAGCTGCCTGGTGGCTTAGTACAGGATTCACAGAGGGAGGAAAGAACGGGAGTGCCGCCAAGACATCAGATGGAAGGTTGTGGCAGCAAGGCCTGCCCTGGAGATGGAGGGACCAGAGTCTGGAACTAGAAAACTTGGTTCCAGCCTAGTCTCTACCATGATGCTGCTAAGGGGAACCGAACCACCTCTCCCAAGTTACAGCCACATCTCAGTAAGGAAAACTTGTTACTCCTCCCTAAATAAAGCTTGATAAGTTGAGACTAGAAAATCTCTCAGTTCTTTCAAATTCTAAAATTCTGCCTGCTGCCTTTAAATTTTAATGCATTCTAAAGATTTATATATGAAGGCCCCAAATGTCATCCAGAATCCAGAAAAGAATTTAGATGAAATGATTCTCAACATAATCTTCTCAAAGTACAAAGGAATAGAATTTTTAATAATTCTAAGAACGGTTTTTAAGCATACTTTCTAAACCTGATTATATTGAGACAAACCAATCATTTCTGCATCTCACTGTGTAAGAATATGATTTTTTGGGGAAAAAAACATGATTTGGGTATTGCTACTGCAGCAGTGGTTGACGATATTAAAATCAAATAAATATATTACTCTTGAAACAAATGAAGTTATTTAAACCTATCTCTAAGAAATTTATGAAAATATACCTAGGAGGCACAAATTATCATCAAATTAATTTGTTTTCTAAGCTCAAATTTAATTTAAAATGTGATATTTCTTCAACTGGTTTAATCAACAGACTTTAAAGGGATTTTAGATAGAGAACACAGGAAATAAATATAACGTTAGAGCAAATAATCAACGAAATAGTTGTTCTGTGTTCTGTTACTGTGATGCTTCTAGAAAGTATTTTTAACAACTCCCTGAAGAACTGGCTCTTGCTGGTGTGAAGCCAGGCTCTTCTCTCCGCTCACATCTGCAAACTTTTCTCCATCCTCATATCCAATAACAAATCCATTTTCAAGTCCTGCTGAGTCCTTGGTCTCAGTGTTTCTCAAAACTGACCCTTTCTCAAAAAAAAAAAAAAAAAGGAGAGAAATAAAGAAAGAACTGACCCTTCCTCATGTACAAAGATTTGGGGGTGGGGTTCCCAGTCCTGCGTTGCAAAAATGGTCTTCTGCATAGAATAAACTAAAGGGCAAAAGAATCTTTCTGATTAGAGCTTTCATCAAGCCATTTCTATTATTAAAATCTTCAGGCATCCCGTTACTTAGACGTTGAAATCTAAATTCTGCTCTCGAGATCCGGGTCCTCTGAGCCAAGCAAATGCATTAGCTTTCTTTAGAGACTTTAATCCTTTACATCTGAGATTCGGCTATTTGGAATGCTTTAAAGCTCTTTCTCTCTGCCAGCTCATGACCATCACCTCCTTCCATTCTATCTTGAAACTCATTTCCTTGAGGATGTTTTCCTGGTTTAGTAGCTACTTTGCAAATAAACAACTTTTGTTTTTGAGCTTTTAATCACATTAAGTGCTTTTAAGATAAGTTATCCAAGTCAAGGGATAAACAACATATAGAGATTTCCATTCTTTAAGAAACCACCCAGAGTGATTTTACTTTGAGAGGAAGGACAGCACTTCAATTTTTAGGTGTCTGCTTTTTAGCTAGGAATCCGCAATAGAATCAAAGCAAAATGACTCTTTATGGTGACCTCTAGCGGGCACGGGACAATCCTACAAAATTATGAAAAGTGAAGGGCAAAGTAAAACCCTCCCCAGTAACCAGCTGGGTTACTCTGAGGTCAGATGACCGCATCCCATCCCACCCCACCCCTATTTTTTCTTCCAGCATTTGTTTTGCATTTAACATAATTTGCCTTACAACTCACCTGTTTCGTCTCTGGCGGGCACCGCGCGGGCTGGGCTGCCGGTGTCGGATGTCGTGTGAATTGATGGTAGCAGTTTAAAATAATCCCTGCCAACGGAACCCACTCCCTGGGCATCGACCGGAGCTCAGGGCAGTTCGCTCTGAGAAGCCTTAAAGGGCTTTTCGAGCTCCGAGAGCCAGTGCTGCAGTCGGCTCTGGGGTGCATCGGGGAAATCAAGACATAATGAAAAGGAGGACGCAGACGAAGGCTACGGGAAAATTCTGTTCTGGCCAGTGGCAGAGCGATTCTCCCCGCTTTCACCCACTCTACAGGAAGCGTCACGGCGGGGGGTCCAGGCGCGCTACACGAAGGCGCCCTTTTAGGACCCGCGCCCCAGAAAGCAGGGGCTGGGGCCGCTCCACCCCCCCGCCCCCGGGAGGACAGACGGGAGGGCGACACCGAGCCTGGGTGCTGGGGTGTGTGGCCGCCTTCGGAGCACGCGGTACGTGGGTCTCCGCGCCGCGGGAGGAGAAGCAAGTCGGCAAGAAAAGCAATTGCTGGGGTGCCTTCTCTGAGAAATCCCTTAGGGCGGTCTCAGAAACCGAGCTGGGTTCCGGATAGTTTCTGGAAAAAGCTCTCCAAACGCCGTCTGTCCCCGCCCCTCAAATCCTGCACCCCAGTCCTCACCCCTCCTTACTCTTCGGTCGCTTCCCTTTTGGGGGGCTGTTAAATAAAGGGCCCTTGGGAGCTGCCCAAGTCACCCCTGATGGCCCGGGGCGGCACGCGGGAACAGGCACCCTGGCCGCGGGGCTTTGCCCCCGCCCCAGGGCTCCCCATTGCTCCCTTCCCCTCCCCGCGGACCCCTCCTGGCCGCGGCGGGCGGGAGCGGAGGGGGAGGGCGGCGTCACGGGGCGGGGAGCCCGAGGTCCAGGGCGGGGCGCCGGGGAATCCCAGCCGAGCGAGCCCGGGAGGTGCGGGCGCGGGTGGGAAGAGGAGGGCGGCGCGGGGAGGGAGGTGAGCCGTGCGGAGCTGGGAGGCGAGGAGGGGGAACCGCGAGGAGGCCCCGCCCCCGCCTCGCGGAGCCGGCTCTCCGCCGCCTCCGAACCCGCTCACTTTGCCTCTCGCCTCTGGACGGCGGCGGGGCGGTTGCCGGAGCGGCGGCCAGAGGGAGCGCCGGGGACGGGGAGCCATCCCGCACCCGCGCCTCCTCCCGGCGCCCGCGCCCCTCGGGGGGGGGGCCGCGCCACCGTTTGAAAGGACACCCCGGCCTCACAGGGGGCATCCCCGGGCGCTGACAGCCTCGTTCCCGGCCAGTGGGCGCGCAGCGTTGGCGCCTGAGGGGACTCCCCGGCCACCTGCAGGTGCCACCGCGCCGAGGGAGCGTCGCTAGCAGCAACGCTGGGCCGCCGAGGACGCTAGAGCCGAGGGGGGTCTCCGGGCCAGCGAAGGGCAGGAGCAGAGCCCGCAGCCAGAGCCGGCCCGCCAGCCCGCTGGCCCCGACGGCGCGCTCCCCCATCGGCCAACGGC